TTTGGCTATGCTATAGTTTAGAATTTAAATGTTCTTATGATTCCTACATGTTCAAAGATTGGTTGTCATCCTATGGTAGTGTTGGTAGGTGGACAATCATAGGAACCCACCAGTGCAAGGGAGTTAGTTCATTGATGGTTGGTTGCTGAAGCATTTAGTGGGACTACAAACCTTTTTTCTCTCTGTATATTGCCTTCTGGCTATAACAGGGTGAGCATCTCTTCTACGGCATGATAATGATATAACAGATACCCCCACAATTCAACCAAATAACCATGGACTGAAACCATGGTCATAGTAAAGTTTCCCTCCTTGTAGACTGGCTATCTAAAATATTTTGTCATAACAATAAAAATCTACAGTTAAGTAGCCTTTATCAGAGATGAAAGGAAACTGATTTTTTTCTCTGTTTGGGAAATTTAAATTATACAAATACATCGAACGTTATTAAGTAATTCTTTTGCTCATCATAGGATCGAAAGAGCTATTAGGGAATTTTAAACTATTTCCTAGCACCAATGTTTCATGCTTAGTATGAAGCTGCTGTGATTAATGCTTCTTCTTGGCAAAGCGTTTTATTTCTGATTCCTTGAGATAATCTTTGTAAAGTCATGAATGCCAACAACCCTTTGCCATGTCCTCACATCAAATAACCATTTACCTGGATATCACATCTGAGTTTCTTTAATATTTTGAGAATATTACTCTATACTATTCTAGAATCTGGTGTTGTTACAAAGTCTGATTGCATTTTGGTTGCTTTAGAGGTGACACAATTTTTTCCTTCCCAAAGCTTAAATGATTTTCGCTTTCTCCTTACTATTCTAAAGCTTCACTATAGTCTGCCTGCTTAAGAGGTTTGATGCCCATCTGTTTGATGAATAAGCATTTTCTGATTTCTTTTTTCCTTCATTGATCCTGGAAACAACTTGTTTTTTCCTGTTTCTAATGATTTTCTTTGTGGGCAAGGGTGATAGTTTGGTTGGTAAAGTGCTTGCTATGCAAGCGTAAGGACCTGAGTTGATCACCACAAACCATATTTTAAAAGCCATGCATGGTTGCACGTGCTCACAATCCCAGCACTGCAGAAGCAGGGATGAGCACGTGTCTTGGCTTTATTGGCTAGGCAACCTCACAGGTCAGTGAGCTGCATGCTAAAGAGAGACCCTGTCTCACAAAACAAGCTGGAGAGCATCCGGGGAATGACATCCGAAGTTGGTCTCTGGCCTCCACATACATGTGCACTCCCACCACAAGCACACACACACACACACACACACACACACTGACACACACACACACACATACACTCACATACACACAAAAACACACACACTAACACATACACTAACACACACACTAACACAAACACTGACACACCATACACTAACACACACACATACTGACACCCCACACACTGACACCCACACACACTAGCACACACACATTAACACACATACTGATACATACACAAACACACACACACTAGCAACACACTAACACATACACACACACTAACACACATACTAACACTCACAGACACACACACTAACACACACTAGCGCACACACTAACACATACACACACTAACACACATACTAACACACACAGACACACACACTAACACACACTTGCACATACACACTTACACACACACACACACTAACACACACATACTAAAACACACACACATTAGCACACATACACTTACACTGACACATACACACACCAACACACACATATACACACACACTAAAACACACATACACACACAAACACACACACTAACACACACTGACACACCACACACTGACACACATACACTAACACATACACACACATTAACACACACACACAATAACACATACACACACTAACACACACAGACATATACACTAATACATAGACACACACATTAACACAACACACTAACAGGCACACACATTAACACATTAACAAACGCAGACACACACACACACTAACACACACTAACACACACACTAACACACACTAACACACACACTAACACACTCCAACACACACATATACACACAGACACACATTAACACACATTAACACACTAACACACACACACACACACACATACACACACCAGCACACACTGACACAATTTTTCCTTTCATCCATTTATTTTTTTTTTTCTGTCAGGAATTCTTGATTAAGGTAGTTTTAAGTGGTTCTGGTTTTATCCTTTGCGTTTAATTGGTTTTTTGTCTGCCAGACTTTTATTTTTCTTTCTTTCCTTCCTTCCTTCCTCTCCCCCTTTCTCCTTGAGACTTTCTGGGAGGGTTTATACACTAGTTTGGATCTCCTAAGATCTTTCAATTGTATTTATTTTATTATTCAGTTCACATACTGCTTTTTTTTTTCAACATTTGTCTTCTTTATTCTTCACACCGACAACTGGCTCTTCCTTACAACCTCTTTTCTGTTTCATATCCTATAAATGTCCTCCTTGACCAATTCAGTGATGTATATTGATCTTATTTTAAATTTTAAATGTCTGCTCTCAGATGTATTCATTCTACCTTGCATATTACAGATTATTCTTACATTGACATTCTTTCCCTGCCCTGTTTCCCAGATCCTTTATTATTTCGACTAGACAAAATCTTTTGCTTTGGGATTGCTAAATACATTTTGGAAAAGATGCACTGGAGTGAGTTTGAAGCTGCATCTGTCTCTAGCGTCCTCCTGGGGAGCAAGGTGGGTGCTCCTCAGGGCAGCACACCACTTGGGCTGCTACCCTGGTCCAGCTTCTGTGTGTCTTGTCTATTTTATGGAAAGTGATGAAGAACCTCAGAGAATCTCCCAGTTATTCTATCAGAGATTTCACTGTGTCTGAGTTAAAATCTCTGCTATAGCTAACTTCCCCAAGTATGTGCAGGACATCATGCATGGATATGTCATGATCTGTGCCTCTCAATCCCTGTGGGCACATCTCATTGACTGTCCATCATAGGTGCTGTCAACTTTCTGGTATTCAGTGACACTGAGGTAGAACAAGGCTTTCCAGGAGCACATGAACAACAAAAATCAATAATAAATGTTCCACCCTCAGCCCATTTCTTACATGAGATACTGAGCCCTGCTACTTGATATAATTCCTACCCTGTAACAAATACAAGCACAAATACAAGGATACAATACATCCTCTTTTTATGTTTCTTTCTATGTTATTCTTTGATATCACCGATCCACAGTTTGCCTCCTGCTTTGAAGGTGTCACTAGTGTTGAGTTGAGGACTGGCAAAGAAAATGGGTAAAGTTTTTTTGTTTTGTTTTTGTTTTTTGTTTTTGGAGAGGGAAGTTAAGGTTGAGCCCAGATTATAACAGAGTATAACCAATTCTTCCAACTAACTTCCAGGAGCAATGAAGTCCAGCTAGGATGTTCAAGTCACTTTCTCCTACTGTCAATGTTATGTTACCATTTTATCAGAAGCCAGAGTCTGCTCTGATCAGGTTTTAAAGATGTTCTGTGTTTTCCTTTAATTTCCAGGAATGATGAAGTATTATAAACAACACTTAGCTTTTTGGAGCAAAATAAAAAAAACACACACTAGGAATAAAAGTATTAGTAATATATTACTTAACACAAAAATGTAAATTACAAGGAATTACTTTTGAGAACAGCTAAGTACAAAAGTAATGAATAACATTGCCTTACTGTGTTATACTATCAACTTATTAGTGTAATTATGATAATAAAATCTGCATCCCTAAGCTCTGCTTCACAAAGGGTAACTATTAGAGTAAGACCTTTGAGAGTTATTGCACAGGCTAACTGATAATGACCTTGCATTCCTGGCATACCCAGAACACATCTTACAAAGCAATGAAGTACATTGCTTTGAACACATCTTACAAAGCCAAATTCTGCCTGAAAACAATTCAGAATATTTAAGTAGAATGCACTTGTATGTAGTTTTCAAATGTTAGCCTGTAGGTGATAACTCTTAGCTCTTGGTAACCCCAAAGGAAGAAAGAAGGCTACTGACACATGCCAGGGCACCCAAGGCTTTTTCTTAATGCACATTTTAAACAATAACTCATTGTCTAACAATGATTCAGGAACATCACAGAATCCATATAACTTTCAGGAATAAGGTACCATATCAGCTATGTTTATAGCAGTGTAGTTTGTAATAGCCAGAACCCAGATGCCCCTCAGCTGAAGAATGGATCAAGAAAATGTGGTACATTTACACAATGGAGTATTACGGGGGAAAAACAATGAAATCTTGGAATTCGAAGGCAAATGGATGGAACTGGAAGAAAACATCCTGAGTGAAGTAACCCAATCACAGAAAGGCATGCAGGTTTGTACTCACTCACATATGGATGTTAGAGATATCAGAGCAAATACAACTCACATCACCAGAGAAACTAGGAAACAAGGAGGACCCCAAGAAAATAATGCCTGGTCCCCCAAAGAAGGGGAGGGGAACAAGAACCCCTGAGCAGATTGGGAGCACGGCGGTGGAGGCCGGAGAGAAGGGAGGTAGAAATGGGAGACGGGGAGAAAAGGAGGGGGAGAACAGGAAAAAGCAGGAGGACTGAGACAGGGGAGGAATAGAGGAGGGCAAGAAAGGAGATGCCTTAATAGAGGGAGCCAGTATAGGTTTGGAGAGAGGTCTGGCACAGGGGAAAAGTTAGGGGAGCCACAGGGATGACACCAACTAGGAATCTAGGCAGTGGTGGAGAGGCTGCCTTTGATGCCCTTCCCCTATAATGAGATTGATGACTACCGTGGATGTTGTGGTAGTAGACTGTAGTTTGCTTACTGACAAAATATTTTATTAGTGATGATCAATACAAAGTATGTATGGTTTAGAAGTGGGATTTAATTACTAGGGTAAAATGTGATGTTGATCACAGTGCATTAAGGGCATCCCTCATATCTGTCACGTTCGAACGTCCTCTGTATTGAGCTCTCAGCATTTTTGGTGAACTCTGAAGTCTGTAGCTGGCCCACTCACCTTTCTTTGCCAGGTGCACAGCTTCGGCATGCTCAGCACTGGTGACCTCAGTGCCGTTGACAGACAGAACCACGTCTCCAATCTGGAGTCCTGCTTCCTCGGCAGCACTGTCTGTAAGTAGACAGATGACAACAGTCTCCTTGACAGAGGGTCCCAAACTGAGTGTCCTGTCGTTTGTACTTTGAAAAAAAGACTCTTTTTCTTCAGGGCCTTTCTTTCCAACTTTAGACAATTGCTTATGTCATTAATGAGAAAGAAAACGCTCTCCTTCTGGCCTCCCTTTCATTTCTAGGACTTGCACATTCAGCCAGGCATCTGAGTGGCTCCTTTGCAATACAATAGCAAAGCTGCTCCAAAACTCAATCTATTCATCTGCAAGAAGGTTGAACTAGTGTTTCTCATTCCCCATTGCTGCAAGGTCCCTTTGTAACCCTGAGAAAATCACTTAACCTCAATATCTTCATCTATAAAAAGGGGGCTGGGGGCAGAGCCTCTCTGCAGGACTGTTCAGGGGACAAGTAATTGAAATACGTATGAAGCTGTGGCAAAAACAGGTCTTGGAGTGGTTGGGGGGGGGGGTTGGTGAGAAAAGAAAGAATGAAAGAGCTGCTTTTACTTGCATTGTTTAGCCTCGTCCTTCCCGAGGCTTTTCAGATAGGAAACTGAAAACAGCCTCGGCTTATGTTCCTCAGCTGTTGAGGACTGAAGGCCCTTCCCACTGGATATTTTGTCCCTTGTATTTCTGTCACATTCATTTATGCGGCATACCCACATTTTCTGTGAGTTAAAAATCAATATATTATTGTAAGGCTAATTTATTTAAAAATATGGTCTCCTCTAGATTTGACTAATCAATAGCAAGCTGTTGAATTCTTCTTCTTTCACCATTCATTTAAACTCCTTTCCTCTCTCTTTGATGTGCATGCTGAGTACATATGTGCTGTTCATGGGCTTACAGAGAAATGTGAGCCATAGCAAAGTTTTTAATATGTAGGACATCACTGACCTCCTCAAAGAATATTCACTCTAAATATTACTTTTCAAATTTTATTTTACTAAGTCTTTATGCATATGGATGTTTGTTTTGTCTTTATGTACGTCTGTGCACCAAGTGGATGCCGGGTGTCTGCAGATGCCAGAGTAGGGTATGGGATTCCTGGAACTGGAGTTCCAGATGGTTGTAAGCCCGCATACGAGTGCTGGGAATCAAGCCAATGTTGTCTGAAAGAGCAGCCAGTACTCTTAAGCACTAATCCATGTCTCCTGCCCCAAAGAATGTTAATTTATCTTTGTACTTTTTCATGTTTTGGTTCTTAATAATGAGGTTTCTCTGTGTAGCCATGGCTGTGCCAGAACTCCCTGAATGGACTTGAACTCACAGAGACCTGCCTGCCTCTGCCTCCAGAGTGCTGGTGTTAAAGGTAGGTATCACAATACCTTGTCAAGAATGCTGTTTTTAAAATGTGATGGCAACATGATGTAGAACATTTTTTATTAATGACTACAGTTTATTTAAATATGTTCATAATGGTTGGGAAGTCTCTGATTAATAAGCTATTTTTGCTTCAATTCAGAAAGTGGTAAGAAGCAATCTTTGATAGCCCCTTTCATTTATATACTATTCTGCTAGGAGTAGTATTACATCTTTTGGCATGATTGATTATTTGACTCAACTGCAGTGAATATAGTGTTTACTGTCTTAGAGCGCTTAGAGAATTTGTTTATGACATTGCAAATAACAACATAGATACAGTGGTATTTCTTATTATTTTCTACTTTCCCCATAATACCAGCTATGTCTTACAGGTGAACAGTCATTCAACAAATACATATTGAATGAATAAATGAAACACTCCAAATTATATGCTATAGTTTTTTCATCAAGGACCTTCAATAATACTGGTAATGAGAAGAGAAACATAACTAAAAAGGAAAATTACACTTGTAGTATATAGCAAGTGACAGATATAAAACAGATATAAAATTATGAAGACAGTATGTGCTGTGATTTTGGAAAAGGGAATTCTTATTTCAATATGGAGTAATTATAAAATGATTTTCAGAAAAAGGAGACTTTGGTCTGATACTAATGAATATGTGAGTTATGCTTCATGGGTATTAGGCAGGTCAGAGTGATGGAGACTGCTAGGTTTACATAAATCTAACTCCTCCACAGTCTGGACTTACAGTTGGTCAGCCTTTCTCAGATTCTTTTGCCATTGGGCATGCAATCTGAAAAAGGCCTAGTCACTGGATTGTGAACAGAGTGGCCTTCCATTTCTAGGCCTAGGCCCTAAATACACAGGAAGGTCACCCTTTTCTACTCCCCTTTTCGTCTGTCTGGCAGGTGCTGATGACTTTAAGGTCCCAGGGGTTGATAGATTCATAAGGAAAATGAAACCCAGATCATGAAACATTATGTGGGATAAAGCTGTCTCCAACTAAATTAGACTACTACCATGACTCATAACCTTTCATTTTTGTTTGCCTTGAGGAATGAATATTTTTTTATTGCAAAGGTTAGGCTCATTTCAAAATACCAACACACCCAAAACAGTGAGTGTTCTGAACAAAGGTATGCATACTTTCTAAATCCCCAAAGTTACTGAATCAAGTCAGCTCACATAGAGGCTGCAGTTCAGTGGGCATTGACCTTGGTGATAATATAAGGGAGACAGCCAAAGGAGAGAGGGTGTTTTAGGTGAAGATGAAGAATTTGTACTGACTCCTCTGAGATTAGAGAGATATGAAATATCATAAGCATAAAACATGTGCATTGTTTTATACTTTAGGTTTTAGGAAGATTAATTTAGAGTAGAGAGAGATTAAGCTAAACAGATCATCATGGATATTATTATAGAATTTATACAAGCCTATAGCATAACTCTAGAGATTATGAAAGCATAACAGCATGTCGCATGACTTGAAAAGATCTTCGGAATTCATTTGGGTACCTGTCTTTCTATTCTTAATGAAGCATAAACATGCTACCAGCAATTAAAATTTCTCATATGTTTATTATGGTATTTTCTATATTCAGAATAACCTCTTATACATGGAAGGAAAAACACTGGTTAAATATGTGTTTGCTTTTAGATACACTGAAATAACCATGGAACACATTATCTTACATGTTCATTGGGATGGATGAAAAATATGTTTGGGGATGGAGGGGAAGCACAGAGGTAGACTGCTTGTCCAGAATCAGTGAGGCCCAGGGGTCAATCTGGGTAGAATAGGAAAGAGAGAGGATTTGAAGTATAGGTATTAAAGCAGAACCAATACAAACAGATTCGTAACGCAGATAATTTAGGGAGAGAAATATAGAGCATTGAAGATAAAATTTAAAGAATAGGTACTATTAGTAAGAGAGAGGGGGGTGCTGCACAAGGAAAAACAAAAACAAAAGCAGGTAGTCAACAGGGATCACAATGAAGACAGGGCTTAGCTAGTAAAGTGCAGCCTGCAGGACTGACCTTTGATCCCCTGCATCTGTCTAAAAAGCTAGGCACAGCAGTAGAAGCTGGAATCTCAGTGTTGGGGAGAGACACACAGGAAACATGCCAAAGACTTCAAGTCAGTCAGTCTGTCCAAATCAGTGAACTCAAGGTTCAGGCAGAGACTTGTCTCAGAAAGTAAGGTGGGAAGCAAGTGAGGGAGGCATCTGATATTGACTCCGTTTTTTACATTCATGAGCACATATGTGCTTGCACAATTACACACACATGCACACATGCATGCATGTGGTCACATATGTGTACAGAGAGGGGGAGAGAGAGGGGAGAAAGAGAGAGAGAGAGAGAGAGAGAGAGAGAGAGAGAGAGAGAGAGAGAGAAAGAGAGAGGAGAAAAACATCCAAGACGAAGAGAATATCAACAGTCTATATTGAGGCCATAAAGGCCACTCTAATAACATTGCCATAAATCTTATTCTGTTCAAGACATTTAAAAAATGAGGGCTAACTAAAGCTTTCAGGAGAATAAGGGAAGTAGAAGGAATTTCAAAATTTGTACTAATCAATATGTTAAATGATTGACTACATCAGTCAATAAACGCTGCAAAATCAAAAACCAAGTGCATGTTTAATAGTAGGTTTTCTAAGTAAAATTTGCTTTAAAATAATTTTTTACTTAAAGACTCTATCACCATGAAGATAGTTCTGTTCTAATTATACAACTTGACATTTTTTGACTGTATTTTTGCATGGGTGTGGTGTTCTGAATTCCTTCGTATTACTGATAGCATTTATTATCTGGCCTTTTATTATAATCATACTTGTGAGCAACATTAGTACATCTGTGGTTTTCTTCTCTCTGGTGAGTACTGATGCTGAACACTGTCGATTTTTTTATTATTTGTTTATATTTTTCAGATAAATATCTACACAAGTCTTCTGTTCGTTTTAAGTTGTGTTACCTCTATATTATTGGTTAAGATACCGAGTATAAAAGTTGTTGGTAGGGTATTATTAGTGTTTGCCACTCTTGTGGTTGGTTCATAGAACTGCTTTTAAATTTAAGCACTGGTTGTGGTAGTCTGGACTGTCTTGCATCATAGGAGGTTCACCTCTGTCTCCTAATGATGACTGAGTTTCAGTACAAGGGCTTCATTGAGGACAGAGATAGTTCAAGGTGACTTAATAATACACCACACAAATGCTTGTCCTATTTGACTTTTGTTTTGGTGCAGAAATAGTCAATATAAATTGCTCTGGAAGGTATGGGGTACTAGGAAAATAAGACTGTGGTTTTCTAAATTTACAGTTCCCTCCAAATAGATATACCTCTAAGTTTATTAGGAAAACCTAAATGAGAATATACTCCATGCTTTCATGCATATTTACATATAACGAGGATTCTGGAAACCTTCCACTTAGAAGAAGAGCTTGTACTTTTCACTCTGATATTTGTACTCTAACAGTAGCATTTTAAATTCTGGAGCTTCAGAAACATGGGCCTCTTCATCATTTCCTCCCTTGCTTATCCCATCTTAAATGTATAGTTCTCTTTCTGAGTTTGCTTGCTATCAAAGTTGAAACATCTGTTTCTTTTGTTTATGCCAACAGATCTCACAGGCACTTAGGCTTTCACAGAAACCGTTCATGCAGATGC